AACGTCTTTAGAGCAACGACTACTTGTTATAACAGCAGAGATATAACGTCTTTAGAGCAACGACTACTTGTTATAACAGCAGAGATATAACGTCTTTAGAGCAACGACTACTTGTTCTAACAGCAGAGATATAACGTCTTTAGAGCAACGACTACTTGTTATAACAGCAGAGATATAACGTCTTTAGAGCAACGACTACTTGTTATAACAGCAAAGAGATGCAACGTCTTTAGAGCAACGACTGCTTGTTGTAACAGCAAAGAGATATAATGTCTTTAGAGCAACGACTACTTGTTATGACAACAGAGATATAGCGTCTTTAGAGCAACGACTACTTGTTATAACAGCAAAGAGATATAACGTCTTTAGAGCAACGACTACTTGTTATAACAACAGAGATATAACGTCTTTAGAGCAACGACTACTTGTTATAACAGAAAAGGTATAACGTATTTGAAACAACGACTACATCAACAAACAGTGTTTACTTTGGAAGCATTCTGTGTAGCAAAGCTTCTGTCTTTTTCTTTTCCTCAAGAAGTAATGCTGTCCGTTCGTCCACCAAATCCTCTAAGTTATTGGCATACTTCTCCATCATATCCATCATATTGTCCATGATATTTGATTTCCTAATTTAGAAAATTGCAAAGGGAAACATAAGCGATCATGGGTTTAATATGAGATATTTATAACATAGCAAATAATTTATTTATAGATATATATATTTCAAGCTCAAATATACTTATAATGACGATTATTATGTACAAGATTCTATTCTTAGCACAAAATAATAAAAAAAAAACACGTCATTTGGAAGTAATTTTATTTCTGGCAACCTTCCATAAGATACAGTTACCATGAGAACACGATAAAAGAAACAACTGGGAATTGAATGTTGCCAAATCGTTTAAAGTTGACAGTTCCTTAACGTTAATTCTGGCCCCTAGTGTTTTGTTGTTTGTTTCTCTTCGAGATACGTGCTAAACCTAAACCGACTCAAAATAATATCAGAAGCCATCTTTGAGGTTGAAACTAAAACTCAATGATGGCTGTTGCTGTTCTCTTTCTGTTGACGTCTTAGATGTCTTTTAGATTTACCATTATACCCTTGATAATGTGAAAGTTGTCTATCATCTAAAACCTTTTAGTTTTAGCGATATATCTGTGAATATTAGCCGAAGTTTTGCCCCAAAGTTAAATACAATTAGATTTAGCCGCTGTCTAGATGATTTAAAGTATTTAATTATGAATTACTATGAATGTATAGGAAAGGTTTTTAGTTAAAAGTATATACATATTTGTATATTAACATAGCGAAATGGTTGATATTGTATATATACATATTTGTATATTAACATAGCGAAATGGTTGATATTGTATATATACATATTTGTATATTAACATAGCGAAATGGTTGATATT